CACATTTTCGTTATTTCACCCTATCCTATCAGAATCGTTTCGATTCCGAGTTCGATTGCACTTCGATGGAGATGCAAGGTTGATAGACGAACGAAAGACCTACGGAGAGGGTGACTCGTTCGTCCGAGACGAAGAATAGGGTGGAAAAATATACATGTCACCGGGGCTGAACGGTGGGGTACGGGCTGGTGTCGTTAGCGGAGATAAGAGCGGATAGCGGCGGAATGGTAATGGAAACTCGGAGAGTTCCACTTATTATGCCGTAGCATTATGTAAATACCGGAAGGCTATTACAATTTTACAACTTACTAGGAGTGGCTTTATAGTTTCATCGCTCCAAGGCCCGTCTCGTTCGCGTACTTCGTTCTTCAGTTTCCTAGCGGCTCGAGTCCTACGGATGGACCCTGGCGTATGCGCTCCTATCTCCGTTTTACTGGCTCCCCCTTCGTCGCAAAAATGAAATTGTCGCGTGGAAGAAGCCGTATAAATTTCGCTAGGACTTTGAAAATCCGCTACCTTCCGTCTCCGCGTGGTTACGGTTTTCGTTTGTGGATTCGTAATTGAGGGATTTGTTTTATATAATAATTAATGAGAAGGTGTGTTTATATACCAAAAAAAAAGTAATTCCAATTGAAGCGACGCCGGTGGGTGGCAAACGTCATCGTTCTTAATGTCAAGCTATATATATATTTTTAATAGATCCCATCGAAAGGCAATTTCATCCTGGCAGTCGATTAATCCATCGCTTCGACAGCTACGTTCGCGTAACGCGTGGTAATTTTTTATCAGCGGTTCTCGAAACTTTACGAAGATAAAGCGAGAAACTTCATCCCCACGAATCGTCCACACTCAAGAGCCGACGAAGACAATCCATCAAATGATTTCGGTAGCCGGAAAAACGGAGGCAGGATAACGATCCTCGAGTTTATCTTTGCTCGTCTCATCAGTGGTTAAGTATCGGATGCTGGATGCTTCGACAGCGAGCGCCACGTCTTTTTTGACCCGTGGTAAAATTAATAATTGTATGTTTTCATTTATTAAAACATTACTTCAGTAATTGAAATCTGATAAGAAATCTCCGTAATCCTGGAGTTAAAAATAAATTATAGTGTCCTTAGAATATAAATAAATACGTTTGTAATAAAAAAATCCATAAAAAAATTCCAAATGGACTTAAGAAAAATAAATTCAAAACAATACTTTAAAATTCACCTCTATTCCAGGACAGTCCCTAATATAAAAATTCCATCAAATTCATTCTTTACTCCTAAGCCCAAGTAAAAGTATGTAAATTCGTAAACTCGTTCCTCATTTCATTTCATACTCAAACCTCTATCCTGCTTCCGGCCAAACGGATCCTTCTCTCCGCGAGTCCCCCAACGAGCCGAATCCCTTGATGCTCGGTGAATCTCGAAATCCCTACGATTTGGTCGTAAGCGGAAGTCCGCGGATTCCCTTGAAACTTCCACGAAGTAATTACAAGCTGGCCCGGGCCGTGTTCCTTGCGCGAACCAATCCGCGGGTCGTCTCGACGAGGGACAAAAGAGTTTCTCCCCGCTGGTTGAAAGAAGCACCCGCGCCGTGTCTCCGGGCGTCTCCGCCGCGACGCCCGGTTGAAGTGTCTCGTTTGCACGACAATGCGCTCATTACAAAACCGGGACCCGGCGTAGCGGAGCGTAATAAAATTTCAGCGGCTCGGCCATCTCTTAGGCCGTGAAACCCATCCAGCGGCTGGGATATCAGGAAACTTCAATTCTCTCTTTCGGCACTTCCGGCCGAGCCTTAGCAAGCGAGCCAGCGCTGGTGCAACTTCATTCGAATAAGTGGTTCCCCTTTGCCTCGCGTACCTTCGTCTCCCTCTTGTTCACTACTCGTTATTTATCCGCGTTCATCTCCCTTATTCCGTCGACGCCCTTCTCTCTCTTTCTCTCTCTATCTCGCGCGCGCGCGCGCGCACTTTCAACCCCCTAGCCTGTTTCGCGAACCCCTTCGACGGGGCTCTGCCCCTTTCCCGGCGTCTGTCACTCCCGAGTTCTTTCACAGCAGGGGGGCGAGGGGGCAGGTATTCGGCCGACGAAATCGAGGCGAGTCGTTTATTTAATTTTCGAGATCCAGCCGTTTTATTTTCATCCCCGGGACTTTATACACTTCGCTGATTAGCCAGCCCCACGGTCGAGCTCGCGAGGTACCCATCCGCCTCCCATGAGAGGAGAGGGACACAGGGATAAGAGCGCGAGCTGGGTAGGATGGGGATTAGAAAGAGAGCGGGTTGAGTTCAGGACCACGAGGTAGAAGGACTTGCGCCTGGGGGTTTGCGTTACTCACCGGATATAGAGAGGTCTAAGCCCAGCCATCACTGAAATTACCAGAGTTTACCTCTTCTGCCGTTTCCGCTGTATTCAGTTCCCTTCCCCCCTTGCCGTCGCCTCCACCCTTACGCCCACGTCCCTCGCGTCTCTTTTCCTTCCATCCGCCGCGGAGTAGCTTCTCTGCGAAATTTTCCACGCTGGCGGGCTTTATTGCGTTGCGATCGTGTTATTAAGACGTTCCGTCTGAATAACCGTTTTTTCCTTGTTTTCTTCGTCGCGCTGCTTGTGAAAGCGTTCCGTAGTAATTAGCCTCACCGCGACGCAGCGTCGCCACGCTGATTCCCTCGGCAGCGCCGTTATATCCCCGTCCTGAGACGCCATTCTCGATGCTCGCTCCTCGACTCTCCGGTTTCACCTTTTCCCTGTTCAATCCGTGACACCGCGAGGGCAAAGTGAATGGTGTCGGACTTGTACCAAGACTGGCAAGACGATCTGTTTGATCTGGAATATGCGTGACTGAAAAGATGGTCTGTTTTGGATTCAAGTAAAGGATACCAAAGTTACGTTTCTCGAACAGACGAAAATAATGCCATTTTGTCTCATTGACTAAAATATATAGAATAATCTAGTAATAGTAATTATGTAGAACAAAGAACTATTTATAACGAACACGCACGACTAATTTTAACGATAAAGTGGAGAGTTTTTGAATCATATTTCATTTTCTTAAGCGACGGAAACGTCAAGGAAAATTGAGAGGCGTTCGCGTTGTTTCCGTCGCAGCGGGATCCGTCAATGAACGTTTCGAGTAGCAGAGAGAATATGCAAGATACGAGACATCGGATTTCCCCTCGTATATAGTTTCAGAGATTCCGTTTTGAATGTACCTCGTAGCTATACCCTCGATCCACTTTGGTCTCCTTATGCCCGGAAAACTTTTCAATATGGAAGCCGCGTACCAAGCTCTTTACTCCGGTGCTGGTACGCTTTTCCGCGCTGCGTGTCGCGGTGGAAGTACGCGTCGAAGAAAATAGAGACCTCGTTTCAACCGAGTATACCAATAGCTTCGGAATCGTAATTGTGGTACGTTGTGTCACTGCTGGGACTCCTGGGAAGATGAGTTTCTGATACGCGCTGAATCTGGGTCGTCTGGGATGCAGCTAGTGTCGGGAAATGTTTGGAACGTACGATTCCGCATTAGATAACTCGATTTGACGGATGATCGAGGAAGAAACGTCGCTGAACCGGATTCGTTGTTTCTAAGCTCGCGTCTAACTGGTTTTGTCAAACTAGGACTCGGTTGGACGTTATAATCACGAAATGTATCTTAAATTATTCATCGCGGAAGAGATTCATCTGAATTACATCTATTTCTGAAATAAAATCGTTCACAGAAAATTTCTGGCAAGAGAGTGCAATTACTTTATCGGATATTAATCGAGACAGTCACCGTTCTTCCATTCCCGGAATAAGGGACGCCGACGACGTCGACGATGGGAATTGACATTACCGATTCAAACAAATGTGAAAAATGTTGTCCAAGAAAGGATCTCTCCCTTGGAAACGGCGTGGTGTGCTCGACGTGGGCCATTCATATTTTATCAGCTCCTTATCAATTTCTTAAGCACGACCGTTGGTCAACCTTGCCAAAGGCTTTTGGCAAAGTAAACATATTTACGAATGGAACTGGGAGGATTCTTTCAAGATCCTTCGGTGGTTTAAATTTAGTCTTCGAAAGTTTAAATTCTCAATTTGATTAAAACTCAATTTGAAAAGACTTTTTAGCAAAACGGGGAAAGGTGTTACATAAATATGTCAATAAATTTCGTCGGAACTCCCTTTTAAAAAATAAATATCTCGTACTGTTTAAAATGACAATACTTCCCACTTTTACAAAGTCCATCGTCGGAGATCAAAGCGAAAAGTTCTCCAAAGCTTTCCCTTCCACAAGGGAAACTTATTTCTTCGGCTTGTATCGCACGGGTTCAGCGCGAATGTGATATTCATGACTCCCGTGTGCATTCCAGCGTGAGCACTTTTAATAAAATTTGTTTTGACGCTCGGTTGGTAAAATTTATTGAAAATATGGTAATGAATTTCGACACATTCTCGCAAAGGAAATAAAATATCGTTTCTGCTTCCTGCGCATTCCATTTTTCGTGCCAAATATGAACACCTACGTTCCGACGACGTGCGTAAGTGTGCGTCGATCGATAGTAGTTTACAAAAACGGTCCGCACGTGTCTAGAAATACCGATTTTATATTTAGGTGTTGCGTGAGCCGAAATTTAAAACATTCTTTCACCTAAAAACTCGAAAAAGAGATTTGCCTTCGGGTGTTGATATTAGTTTATACCCACAGTCACGTTCACTTTGGATCTACCTCCAAACGTTCTTCTATTTATTTTTCCAGTTATACTTGAAAAAAAAAAAATTCAAACCATCTCTGCTCAATGGTAACACGCATAGAAATCTTTTCGATATTTGGACTCGTGCATCTGCAATTGGATGATGGTACGAGTGATAGTTTTTAAAGTAATTACTTTTCGAATGGAAAGACATACTCATTGCATGTTCCAAAATGTTTCTTTCATCGTTACGTTTATACCACTATGCTGGCAAATCTGATATCGTGTCTTTTGGATCGTGTTTTTGTGACCCCATCAATAACAGATTTTCTTTCTTTTGCAGATGGTGACAAGGACAAAGAAGATATTCGTCGGTGGACTATCGGCACCGACGACGCTCGAGGACGTCAAAAACTACTTCGAACAGTTCGGCCCGGTGAGTACCTGCTACCTGCACGTTGAAAACTCTGATAAATAATGCCAAGGCTTTTTTCCATGGATTTCTATGAATTTTCCTACATGAAAGAACTAAGTCGAACCTTCGCCAGGCCGATGAAACATGGTAGATCCAGTCCCGCTGCCTTTAAAACGATCGACTTAGCGCACCTGATGTTTTATGCGAGGCAACATGCACGCGTAATCTACCATCCCGTGAAAGTAGATTAAAATCGGTGCGGTGGTCGACAAGTTTTGAGTGCATCCCTCGTAAGTGTAGCGATGCGCGGTGATGTCGCGTAGCTCGGTGACAAACATTCGACGCGCGGATCGTGCATCAATGACAGTCGGTTGCGTCGGGACGCTTCGTCATTGTAGCCAAAATCATTGGGGGCATGGTCGGTGCTTTTCTCGTCACGGACATTGCCGGTGATCATTGTCACGGGACCGTCGAATCATTATTTTCAGCGGGAACGCGCCGCGCTGGACACATTGTCGATACGATTCAGCATTCTGCTTATTTCCTGCGCGTGCGGTCGTCTAATCCGACGTCCACGGTGAAACGCGAAATTTGACAGGGCCAATCGTGGAAACAACGAATCCGTCCCCGTCACCCCCACTCGCCCAATTCGCGGCGTTTATTGTTTCAGCGATTTTAATGGCTGCGGCTCGCGAGCCCGCTTTTATTGCCGCGGGACGACACGATCGCCTGACGTTCACGCGTTCAGCCTGGACTATTACTATTTCAATAGAGTTCTCGATGAATGGCGAATCCGATAGATTCGTATTTGGATCACTGTAACGATCCCCGTGTCGACGCACAATTTTCACTTCACTTTTACCGCCACGAACCTCCCCACTTTGCACGAATTTTATCCTGTTTTTGGGGACAATGGAGGCATCCTTTGGCTACTCTGTTCGCGGAGTTTATCGGGGTTTCAGTTAGCCATAGAATTTTTGAACGATATTCCTAGTGCCACTGTGGGATCATTTAAAGACGTGTTTCTAAAAATTTTCACAATAGAACTAGTTTTCTAGACTTTCCTGACAGTCAACTTGAAAACAGCTGAACAAATACAGTTATAATTATTTTATTTAAATGTTTCAATCTCTGAGTGGTTTTTGGTAATATGAATGTTTGATCTACATAGAATTAAAAATCATCTAGTAATAAGGAAAGCAAAGTACCAGCATCCATCAGGGGTTCATAGTAGCAATCCGCGCGAGCGTTTCGTTGTTAGTGGGCACGTGTAAGTCGAGCTATGATTCTGGAAATGATCAGTGCGCAGTCTCAATATTTGCTCCAGCGGTGGCACGTCTCGTAGTCGGATTGTCGGCAAATACTTCGGGACAGCCGTTGGAGCCAATCAGGATTTTGGCAGCTGAACGTCGGGCCACGTATCACCACCACGTAGCGCCACCTTCAGCGACCATTGAACTTCCGGAATACTCGAGACGTCCTTCTCTCGCCGGTGGTTAAGTGATTAGGAATTGGTAGAAGGACCACCTGAGACGAGGATTTCTGCTAATTAGCCTTTATCGACCTCTGGCGAGGCTGCGCGGACCATTACGCGTTATTGTGCGAACTTCTCCCGGCTTCTATCGCCTCGATAATAGCCGTCGCGATTCATCGGCTCGGTGTATGAGACAGATAATGGTGCTTGAGCGTGATTTATGTGGCGGTGGCAGTTGCCTGAAATCGTTTCTCGTTCTGGCGATGAAGTAAATAGATTTAACGGTTTGGTAATTGGTAATAACGACCACCGTTTGGCCTTTTTCTGGCACTTCGGTCACCCACTGGGGGGCGGGGAGTGAAAGTGAAATTATTTTGGGGGAAACAAACGACCGTCTGGCGTGGAATACATTAGACAACTAAACGCGAACTGATTTCGTAGCATTCTAGACTGCACATGTTTTTGCAGATTCATATTTTCAGAGGTGCAGAAAAAAAAATTGATACTTACATGAAATTTCTATTAATATTTGAAATGAATAAACATGTGCAGTCTAGTGATAGTAGCTCAATTTAGAATCGAGACTTTACCTGAAAATTGAGAAAAATTAAAACAGAATGCGTGTGACGCAGTGTGGGCCATTATAAAACTTCAAAGTACGTATCTCAGAGCGTATGTAAATGCTTGTTTAAAACTGTCGATATACCGTCCTCGTATTTGATCAGAGATGAGGTTTTGCGCGAGAGGGACAGGGCAATGAGGTTGGAACAGAGGGAATCGGATGGAAGGAGGGAAGATCGCGATGTCGACGGTTGTCCGCGGTTCGTGGCACGAGTCAGAAATGGATTTGAGATATCAGAGCGAGGCACTATCTCTGGCCCAGCCTCTTGACTCGTCCCCAACCCCTCTTTCTATCTTTTTCAACCTTCTCTTTCGTTCTCCGTGGAAAGTCTCGTCCGGTACCGAATGCAGAGCTTCCTGCTTGCTGTGGCTCGAGTTCGTTTTCCTGGTCTGTCTGACCCACATACCAAGATAAGATCGGGCACACACACACACACACACACACTCGGTAGAGCTTTTTTCCGATAATCGATGACGAATAGAAACACTTTGTTAAAATTTAGTCGTAGCGTTTGATCGACTGGAAAGTTATTTCGATAAACTTTGTTAATTAACTTTGGATTCTTCCAAGGTAAAATGTAATTTTATTTCATCATGGTTTACTTTTTATTCGTTCAAGATTTTCATTCACGATGAGGGTATCTAAATTCGATAGTAACGTAGTCGTTGCTTCGAATTTCTTACATTCGTATAATTATTAAGAAATTAGTAGAAGCATTATTGTTTTTTTTTTATTTTCAGTAAAGTGGAAAGCTTTAACCAATATCTGCTGCGAGCAAGTACACGAATAAGCGTGTCTGTGTTTGAAACGTAAGCGCACGGTCTTAACCTTATATCATTTGCTGGCCACTTCAGGTCGGTCCGGTTCTCCGCGACCCCTACGTATCCAATGCCATACACTGCGACGAAAAAAGGCCAGGAACGAGATCTCCACCAATGAAATACCGCTACCCATGATTCCACTGATAAAGCTAACGGCATTGCTGGTAAATTCGTTATATTCAGCTTCCTCGCGATATCCTGAACCGTGTAGACGCTCGTGGCTTGCACTGTATCGACAGTGATTTCGTTGACCCCCGATCGAGTTAGGTCTTCGTGGATTCTTCTTCCAACTCTAAAATAGGTCTCGGTTCGAGAACAGTGATCTTAAGTCGATCGCGATTCCCATCTTAGTTTCCACGTTGGTCTGAATCTCTGGATACTTGAATACGAGTAGTCACTCGTAATTTAAACTTAAACGTGGGAAATGGCGAAAATGGAATCTAATGGAATGGATGTTGAGATTGGGAAAAATTATTAAAATGGGAGCACGTTTTGTATTCTCTTCTGGATATTTATTGTTCAAGTTTCATCTGTGTTAAACATATTTATATACAATGTATTCGTTAATAATGATAGAGTAGAATATATTATATTACTTTAGATTTATATTACTCAAGTTTCTACAATCGTTGTTTTAACCTTATTCCTCGAGTGGAAGCAACGAGCATCCGTCCAAAGTTCCATCGAAACGTACGTCTGAGATTCTGTTCCTCAGCCCGCAACAAAGGGTACAGCCCGGGCCCTTCTTTCATTGGTCGTCCGCTGTTTCGGAAAACGGGAATCGTTTGAGGAAAGCCTCCCCGCTCGCGCAACAGAGTAATTATAAACTTGACGCGGCCTGAATAAACCAAGGGATCCCAGCGAGATAAGTAAACACAATACGTTACCAGGAGGAGAAAGTCGAAGTTTCTCGCGGGCTCGAGCGCGGGCGTCCCGATAAAACGAACCAATCTTCGTGCCTCCAATCGGCCAATCTCGATGACGTAATTGTCTTTCGACGAGCTTAGGAAAGCGAAGGGTAAACTTCCCCGCAGGTTTCGCCAGACCGAGCGCATCGCCGATAAGCGATCGCCCGAGTAGCAGAAGTTCGGTTTGCGGGCGCGGAATTAAACGAGCTTGTCGAGACGATAGTTTGAAGGAGCGGACGCTGAGGGGAAGAGAAAAAAAGAAGAAGAAGAAGAGCGAAGAGGGACTGGTCGACCAATCCCGGGACGCGTTAATTCTTAATTTCTTAATTTCAAGTCGACCGTTATTCACGGCGTCAAAGAGATCTCGGGGCCGACGGTTACGTACTTCGTCTTTCTCTTTCTCTCCACCCTTCGTCCCGGTCGCTTCGGCTGTCGAACGAAGCCAGTCGAAAGTTGAAAGCGAGTGCAATTAAGCCCTGGGCTCTTCGGGGATCCATTCATTTTTCAAGGAACCTCGTCGAATACCCTTATCTAAGTTTTAAATCGCGCAGCTCTCGACGACATGCGGCACAGCCGGGGAGAGAAAGAGAGAGAGAGAGATAGCTGGTCAGTGGGAGCGGCACAATGAAAGGTTACAATTTGCATCCAACCGTGGTAATTATGTGTGGTCAGGTGTTAAGCCTGGTACCGCTGATTGTCGACGGTATAAAAATTCATGAAAGTGGCCTCGATGAAACAGCATTCGTTCCCCTTGGCAATTTTTTTTCCCTACGAGGCATTGGTTCGTTAACCAGTCTACGCTTCGCGCGCTCGAAAGCGCCCGATACGCGATTCGGGATGTCTGATCGACTGTGGCGCGATCAGCATTATCGATTGGCGGGGACTAGGACTGCGATTATTTGTCCAATTTTTCTATATCGAGAGCTTGTTGAGGATTCTCTGACGGTTTCTCGATTTTGGTTTTTAATCAGACACACGTGGCATTCGAAATATATAGTCGATCTCACGAATCTATTTACTCGAAACATCCAATCTATTCTTCTAAAATACTGCACTTGAACGCGAAGAAATAAACCACGATTTCAAGGGTGACGGACACCCCGTATCGTGGCCATTTACTACCCGAGTCGCTAATAATTGGCCTGTCTCACCTGTGGAACACGTGGCCCAGTGGCATCGCCAGGATTTCTCGACTG